GGGGGGAGTATACAACATAAACCGAGGAAAAGAATATGAAATCAGTAACACATTTAAAGGGTTATTTCTCCCTTGTTCCATCTGTAGAAGGGGTGGAAAGCAAAACTATTCTATACTTTCTGTATCTTATTCATCAACGTAAACAAAATGCGGTAAGAATTCCATTAATACTCTCCTGAATTTTTCTCATAGTAGACATAATAATAGTTTGCCCCACTAGTTTTTGTAATTTAAACTTAGAATCCAGTTATTGGCATTTGCAGTAGTCGTTCTAAAATCAAGAACTCATAAAGTTGAAATTATGGCTGCACCTCTGCTAGCAAACTCTGTTTGTTTGAGTTGTTTTTAAAAAAAATTAAGAGAAAATTTTAACTTTTTTTACTTTTGCAAAAAAAGCTCAAGCAAACACTTCTTGAAAGCTCAAAAACTGAATATACAAGCTCACCTAAGTAATCCTTGCCAAGACTTCAGGGAGTAGGTAGACCTCTCGACTAAAACGTCTATGATTAATGGATTGAATAAAAGAGAAATATTTATCAGAATTCATAGAGAAAATAAAGAGCGCAAACCAGATCATTAAAAAAGAAGAAATTTCGGAAAGACAAGGATATTCTATGCCAAGAGAAATATACATGGCTAAGTACTTTTTAAAAAATATTTAAAAAAATATTAGCAATCTCTAATTATTACATAAATGGAAGATTTTTTTACATTTGAAGCATATCGTAAATATAACCAAATAATTAATGACCAAGGCAAAAGGCACAAATCATGGGATTTTTGGAATTTTCACACTCTCTCTCATCGTGTGAAAGAGATCAGATATCCTTTCTATTCTATTATCTCCTTCTCTCGTCTAGGGGTGTTCATGGTTCGGTTTGGATCGANTAGAATATAAGTTAAAATGATATCGGTAAAGCATCTCCAGGTCATCATGGGTCGGAGTGATCTAATCAACAATGAAGGTCGTGGTCGAAGAGTCACCAACGATCAAAGTCGAGGAGTCGTCAATAATCGATGCCGATAGGGGTGTTCATGGTTCGGTTTGGATCGATTTTTCTCTAAAAAGAAACCAAATCAATTAAGTCGGTTTTTCAAATATTAGAACCAAACCAAACCAATTAAGTCGGTTTTTTCTCGATTCGATTTATGTCAGTTTTTCGGGTTTTTCGGTTATTTGTCGGCTTTTTCTTAAATATAAGAAATACACTATCAAACACACATTTCGGCGACCACATTTTCAACGTAGAAATCTATTATTTACCAAGATATGTTGATGATAATTGAATCAAATAGTGATGAATAATTTAAGGACTCAATTAAAAATATATTATTTTTAACATGAAATAGATTCTTACACTTAACAAAAGAAAACTACCAATTAAACTAGAATGTAAAGGTAAAGAATTGTACTAAAAGTGCAAACGATTAATATTTACTATAAATTTTTTAAAACTTTGTATAAAAGTATACATATATATAGGTATAATAATAAATTTAAAATAACTACTCCTATATTCGGTTTTTTTTAATTAAAACCAAAATCAAACCAAATTTGATCAGTTTTTAAATTTCAAAACCAAAACAAAACCAAACCAAACCAAAAAGTATCGGTTTTTTTGGTCGGTTTGGTTTGCTTCAAATTTTCGGATTTTTATGAACACCCCTACTCTCATCTTATTTTCTACAATCTTTCAATCTATTTCTCTAATCTTATTTTCTCCAATCTCTCAATCTATCATAATATGCAATCAATTAGGCATGCATAATTCTCTCAATCGTTCCATAAAATTAAAACATATGGATTTTCGGAATTCACCCAATTATTCAAAAAAATCACGGAGAGATTGCTCAATCATTCCGACAATTCACAAAGATTTAGCTCCACTCTTCTTATCCTTTTGATCAATTGTTTGGGATTTTGTTTATTTTTGAAGAATATCCACAGATATTTCGTCCGTGATTTCATCAATGTGCTCAATCAACCCCTCCAAATAAATCCACAATCCATAGAAATGGTATATATATATATATTTGAATTGTATATCTGTTTTTGAATTATTTCTATTAGGCTTTCAAAGTGTTTCTTCATATAACAAGAATCGAAGAACAATTTCGGTAGTAGTTCGAATTTGGATGTCTCCGCTGTTAAGGCTATTAGGGATACCTACTCTGATTCTACATCAGACAGCGATAAAAATATCATACCTCTTACTCATCCCACTTTTGATTTGTTGCATGAAACTCCTGCAACGAATGCGAACCAGAGGCGGCGGAACAAGGGGAAATTATTGAGAGACGGGAGGGAGGAGTGTGTGCCAGATATCACTCCAAAAAATTATAATCAAGTTGAAAAAGAAAATGTTGTTGCATTGGATACAAAGAAGCATAAAAGGATAATAAAGTTTAAGGAGAAAAAAGATGTAGAATATGAATTTGTGGATATACTATCCGAGTTGTGAAGCACAAAAAAAGAGAAAGGTTGATGAGGCTAAAGAACAGACACTGAATCTTAAGGCATTGTATGTTTATATTACAATTTAATTAAACATTATTTATACTTGTTATATTTATCGAACGCATTTCTAGTAGGTGCGCACTTTGGCATGCTTGTATATTGGCTGTACTTCTATATTGTTTCACAATCATAGAGAGTAATTGGCATCTATAGTATATGTTGGTATATGTTGTTGGATAGATTGTGATTACTCTGTCTACCAACATTGAAATAAGTATGGTACTACATAATTATTTCATGTATAATTTATATATGATGTATAATATGTATAAATTACACCCTCAACAATCAGACTATTTTATTGGTATAACTACTTTACCTACATCTCATAACATGTATAAATTATACCCTCAATAATCAGACTATTTTGATGAAGGATCAACTTTACCTACATTTCATATGAATTCGGTTAAATTATACACTTAATAATATGGTATAACCACTTTACATGTATTTCACATGACTACAGCAATTGGAAACCTTCATACTAAACCCAATTTTAACCAAAACATTGGATGCAATCATATATAAATGTCTTAGTGAATTTCACCTTGGATATCCATTTGTTTTGCCTCTAATTCGGTATAATAGTTTTTGACTTATATGTCTGTTTAAGTTGTAAAACAGTTATATGCTTCTTAAATGAATAAATTTTTTATACTATAATTGATTGCAGGTTTGGGATTTTTATTTCAAACCACAAGATCATTCTAAATTGAAGATTGGTGCTAACAGCAATATTTGCATTGTTCAAAACATTGATGAAACATCTGAATTCGAGACAATTTGCAATGTTCAGAGAAACTTGTTTTGGGTACTTCCTTGATTTGCCGATTGTAGGTATGCAACCCCGTTTGATTCACTCTCTATTGTTGAGAGAGGTTGTTCATGATAATAGAGATGAACTGTGGCTCTCCTTGAATGGTAGTAAAATACGTTTTGGTATTGGTGAGTTTGCACTCGTTACCGATCTAAACTGTACCGGTGTAGCGCATAAGCGTTATGATTACAACAAAAGTTGTGGTTTGATTGATCGTTGTTTTCCAGGAATTAAGAAGCTTAATAGTCAAGCTATAATCGATTGTTTTGAAGGAAAGAGATGGTCATCCGATCAGGATGCAATGAAGATTGTTGTGTTGTACTTTATAAATTCCTTTTTATTATCATCACTTCCTGATAGTCTCGTCTCAATTGGTCATTTTGAATTGGACTTCCATTGTCATTCCAAATATGGTTTTATGAATGTTGTCCTCTAGCTAAGGATCAAATAGCTGTGTTTGTTCAGCACAGAATCCCTCGCATAACTAGTTGGAAAGTGATTAATAATCCTACATCAAGTGAAGCGTCAAAGTTACTTTCTGACAGAAAGGTAATTTGAGTTATAGTTCTTTCATGTTAATAAATATCAAATATTTTGTATATTATCTTAATATGTTAATCTACATTACTTCTTAGTTGAAGATGAGGAATATTTTCCCAACAACACTTGAGAAATCAAGTATGGATGTCCTTGAGTTTTTTGACGATACGTTGGAAGACAATGCAACAGTTAGGGATGATTTTGTATAAGAACATGGCGACGATGTCTTTCAATCTCCTCCGCATCTGCCACCTAAGGTATACATAAAATCAAATTTAAAGGATGCAACTGATAGTATGGATCTGTTAGCTGAGGTCAAACGTCTATCCAAGAGTCAGAAGGAATTAAAGGAAGATTTTCAGATGGTATGTTCATCTGATTGGTTTAACCTTTAATTTATTATTTTTAAATATACTATTTAATATTTTAAGTTTGTTTCACTAGATTAAAAAGGAACTTCAGATGCTGAATTTGTTCATTGCGGAATCTAATTCCAATTTAGTTAACGCTGTTGAGTCATTGTCAAAGAAAGTGGATATATCCAGTGCTTCTGAGGTATTTATGACAACTACTATTAATTTTGTCAATGTTTGACCTATGGTGGAAATGTTTTATTAATTCTTTCATGGGATGGATTAAAAAGTTTTAATTATTATTTTTTAAACTAGCATGAGGGAGGACTTTGCAAACGAGACATGTACGTTGGCAGTGATGGTTTACATGACAAGGAAGATGTGGACTGTGGATACAATGAAACATATCGCTTCGACAACAAAAATGACGAGAATGAAGCTCATATCGATGGGCTTGGTGGTAATAATTGTTACATTTCCTCTGACTTATGATATATATTTGTTGCATATGTAGATATATTTTTCATTTTATATCAATTATCTTTTAACGAAACCACGTTTATACAACATATAATTTACATTTTGTTTATTTGACACATGCAGATCAATGTAATATTCCTAGTATAAACAAATGGAACTGAATTGCTGATCATGCTTATACACAATGATATAACTTGTATTTGTACATTCGCTTATACAATAATCATTTAAGTTAGTATTTCACTGATATCCCCACTTTTTATTCTTCCACTACACAATATTTTTATTATAATTAAATATATCTTAGTTGCATCATGAACATACAGAGCTATCTATATCATTAGTTTTAATAGTTATAGCTAATTGTTCTAATTTTCACATTTATTGGATTTTTTGAACTGTTTATTACGTACGTAAAGTATATCAAGATGCTGATTTTGGTGCTGGAGAAACTGCAATAGATCCTATGGAGGAATATTATATTGACGTCCTCGAATCCCATATCGTTAAATATACAAACCCTTCGATAGCTGGTAAGTATGCTTGATATATTGTAATATTTTAGTAATTATGTCATAGATATCCCCAAGTCATATTCCTTAAATCTTTACATATACGTAGTATCAATTTAGTTATAATTTTACTTATAACCACATGTATATTTTTTACTACACATTATATTCATGTTATATTTTATCCGAATACGTATAACTTATTATACACCTTCTACATGTTATATTCCCTCGAATGTGTATTACGTTTTCTTAAGTTAATCAATATGCTAATGTTGTGCTTGCTATTCAGCCAAAGACCTCATGGATGAATATTATGTTGACGTCCCCGAATCTCAGATTGTTAAATATACAAATTCTATGGCATCTGAACATACCCCAGAATATTCTAAAAGAGAGAGGCGCCCTGCATCGATCTATAAGTCACCTTTCTTGACTAATTTTCCGTCAGGCGCTAGTTCTGCTGGAGGATCATCAATGAAGACTATTATCACTGGAGGGCACCCGTTTGTGTGTTTTGCCAGTGATAATGATTACAACAAGATTACGAGCGAGTTCAAGACATGGGTTACTACAGGTTTGAGGACAAAAAGGAAGTGAGTACTCGTTTTAGTTATGATACATATTCTTCTTTTGAAGTTTATTCTGTTGACGCTGGATAATCGTGATATTTGTACAGGACTTGTGTTTACGCCAAGAAGGATAATGCATTACACCCTCTGTTTGAATTTGGTGTATTGCATGTCGGCAAGAAGGAGTGGTTCCACAAGCTTGCCTACAAAGGTCAACCCATAACTGATTCGGTACGTTAAAGTAAAATACATCGAATATTTAGGTATAATTGTTTCCAATTTAGGAGTATTTATTTAGATAGAATGAATGTAACAGAACAATAGTTTTGTTTTCTGTGCATAAATGAAGTATATGTTGTTATTATACATGATGTTATAAATATCTTTTTTGTATTATTGACAGTATGTGGACGTCTTATTTTACTATTTGAGGAAAATGGGCAAATATGATCCTGATGTTCAGATCAAGTTCACGAGTACAAATTATCTATTTGATCTGAAGATTAAGGCTCTGTATGAGAAATTCATTGCACACAATAAAAAAACCTTATTTTGAACCTGGAGCACGATATTGTCCGTTACATTCTTTGTGATGAAATCCTTTGTAACAGCCCGTGGCACACCGTCGACCACATCTTATTCCCCATTAATGCTGTATACAATGATTACTGGGTACTAGCAGTAATGTCTTTCAAAGAAAGATGCATATTTCTTTATGATTCAAAGGAAAATGCATCTCACAAATCCAAAGTTCGCAAAGGAGTAGACGCATATGCTGTTATTATCCCATACTTCTTGTGCGCTCTTGGTTTTTATAACAAAAGGAATGATATTGAATTGAATAAGGGATCATATAAAGATAAGACACAAGAAGAACAATTTGATGTTGTTATGGTTGATGGTTTGCCAGTGCAGCAAGCAATGGCAGCTCCATAAAGTTTGTGGCCTAAAGCGAAATTTAATAAGAGGCCTTATACTTTTTTATTAATATATATACACACACTTATACAAAAAAATAGTGCTGCCATTATACTTATTATTTATAGTATAACATGCTTAAATGATGAAACCTTTAACTTCACATAGTAGTATTATCATTTATTAAATAAATTGGATGTAAGATATGTATTTTTAATATGTTACCTCTGATTTTGTTGTAAAAAAATATATTTACTAATATGAAAATCTAAGTAATTTAATTCAAAGTTCTAAAATATTTTTAGTGTTAAAGAGTAGATAGTCCGTCTTTCTTTCTTTGGTCCAAGGTTTATTGTATTTTTCTTTTGCAAGCTTTAATATTGTCTAACTTGAAATAAAATCATAAAATTCATTATTAAAAAATTTTGGGGACCTAAATTAAAGCTTTACTAGTCTCCTAATCGAGCCACATGTTCATCCTCATGCTATTCTCAATCAAATTTTATACAGTCTCAATTAAGATAAGACAACAATCAGTGAATGTGTTATTTAGTTATCAAATGTGAATGAAGCTGTTGAATAACACGTTCATGGGCAGTGGTCTATAAATAATTGTTGATCATTAATGAGGGCGTCTCAATGGAACTGGTGGCTTAAAACTAAAATATATTAAAAGACCCTGAAATTTCTTTCATAATATCCATATAATATTGAGACAAAAAAAGTGGTGAGAGAACAACGTATAATATGTGGGTTAGGCGTAAGCCATATGCTATTGAACTCCCTATAAAAAAAAATATAGCATTAAATGAAAATGGTAAAAGGATTGAGCCTACTATCGATCATATTTTGAACCTTACGATAATTGTCTCTGGGATTTCTTAGTTAAAAAAAAAAAGAGACACAAAAGAACTTGATTACTGATATGAGGATCTATCAAATGTGACAAAAAGGAATAGCTAATTTAGAGAATTAGATTTTAAATTAGAAAGTAAAATAGTAAAAAATATGAAAAAAGAAAGAAAGAAAAATAGAATTGATAAGAAGATAACTATATTATTTAATTTAGTGGGAGAAAGTTTTATCATATTAACTCATTCAATCCTACATCTACCAAATTTAAATAAATATTAGAATTTAAAATATTTTATTATAATTGTATAAATATAAATTACATGTATTATATAATGATATAGTAGTACTATATATTTTAGGGGCCTTAAATATTTGGGGGCCTAAAGCAAGAGCTTCACTTGCCACCCTTGGCAGCAAGATGCGTAAGTCATACTATGAGTTATATTTTTGTATATTATACTTTTAGAGTACAACATAATTTTTTAGTGTGCACTGCATTTTTTTTTACAAAAATTAGTATGCTTTAAATGCAGAGAATCAGGTGTGCTTGTGGCGATGTTTGCAGAATCCTTCATATGTGGTCAAAGCGCGAGCAAAAATGTGTGTGATATCACTGCTCAACGCATAAATAAGGTTTGCGTCGTTGTTGTGGAGTTACGGAAGAATGAAGCAAGATCATCTGGTTGTCAGCGAAGCAGAAGTCCCTACGAAAATAATATAAAAGGGTAGTGTAGATATGAATAATTAGTAGCTTTACTAATTTATGTAGTATTGCTTTAATTTGTTTCAGATGCATTTCATATAATGTTTTCTTTTACTAAACAAGTGGAGCTATGTGTGAAGTTAACTGTCTTTAAGTATATACGTTTTATGAAGTTGAATAATGTCCATGAACAAGTGCATTTATGCTGTCAATATATGACTGGAATTTATGTCTTATCCATATACCAGAATAGTACTTGCATTAGTAATTGCAAATATACTTTTACGATGTCTTTTTACTTGTGTTATCAGCTTTTGATCCTTTATGAAATAAAGATTTATACTGTGCTAGTGCTACAGCCAGTTCCCAACCAGAAGATAAATCACTTGTAACATGTATATATTATACCCTCACTAAGGATTATTTTATTTGTGGTATAACTTTTTCAAATATTTCACAGATCTAGGGATAAATTATTTATGGTATAACTTTTTCAAATATTTATCCATTTTCATACTAAACCAAATTTAAACCAAAAACATGGATGCACGCCTATATATGCACAAGAATTTTCAAACACACATTATTAATTGCATTTTTCAAAGTAAATCAGTGACATTATACCGTGTAGAATCGTTAATCTACAACAACAGCACATTAACGGAGGTAACGTTAAAAAATCTTTGCAAACAGATAAACTGCCTCTTCACATCTGTTGCATGTGTAAACCTTGTAGCATGTAATGTATTGTCCCACAAACCTACGATTCACATTACCATATTAAACATTAACAACCTTGAATTCCCAATCACTGTACATTCTGCATTGGAAATTTTTTTCCCTTTAACTTGTTAGCAAATGTATCTTACTCCCCATATACTAGTGCCTCCATGGAAGATCAGTCACACAAAAGCATATCTCGGGGCAAAATTATCTCACACTCATATTCCACTGTAATCCCATGGCAGCTCATGCCACTCAATCTTGATACTACGGTCGGAAATATATCAACACATAAACCTTAACAAACTACAACTTGACTATCAATATGGTTCATATTTCACGAAAAGTTTTGATTATGGCAAGTTTTTTGTTAGGTATATTTATAAAGACATCATTCAGACTTCTATAAACGAGAATTATTGATACAGAGAAGTCAATATCTACAACTATAAAATACTGATATGGATAAATTGAAATATATATGTGTTTGTGCCGTCAAATTTAGTCATTGCCATCTATTTTTATTTTTGCACAAGGGACATAAGACATAAGAAGTACATATGGAAATAGCAACATTTATATGAACCCAATAGATCTGTCATAATACATAATGCATTTTTTTGTATTAAACTATTATATTGTTTAAGCTTGAACAAAGCTTCTCCTTAGAGATATCACTAGCAGACTAGCATAAGAGCTAAACACATTTATTTGGAGGATTCCTGCAGGTTTTCCTGTTGTGACCTTGTTGTCCACACAAACCACATGTAATGTTACACCCTTTTTCCTGGGACTCACCGGCACCTTTGATTCTCGACTTCTTTGGCCTTCCAGGTTTAACTCTTACATTTGGTGGCTTAACCGCATCCCCTAAGACATCTTCAAGAATTTCCCATTGACTTTCGTCAGGAATTGGATAAACCGGAAATTCATAGGTCTTCATCATGTAATCCTTGCTACAGTATACCGAGCAATATTTGTATTCATCCATGTGGTATTTTGTCACAATCGCCAACCGCATGCTCACATGGATGGTATCACATCCAGTTGGAACCTTCTGCAACTACATTTTCTTTCCCGCATGCACTCATGTACGACTGTATACAAGTGTTCATTTGATGGAGTAACCTACATTATACAAAACCAGTTTTCATCACACATTCTGCAAGGGCATTATAAGAATGGCGCATCAATCATCAAAAACAGAGAGCAGTAGTAATTGCTTCGTCAAAAAGTAGCATCACACAAATGATGGTATCTAGATCTGCAAATTTCGACCTATACACCTACGACATGTAATTCTCTACCGTAAGCCTAATTTAGTGACAGATCTAGAAGCACTGATACTGTAAAAATAGATTGTACAATCAATGCATTTAAGTTGGATCCTTTTCGAAATTAGACGACAAAGAGAAAACTGAGGTTGGATTACCTTATAATTGCAATCTAGTCAGGATAGACTTAAGTGTGAAAGTTTCACGGTGAAACTCGTCGCTTGGGAAAAAAATAAAATGAAGCAAAACAAAATTAATGAAGTGAAGTGGGTAGCAGGATAACATAATGCATTCAGGTAGAGACTTTTGATAAATTAAACCAAGATCAGCATATACTTTCTAGCATCTGAAACTCAGAGATAGCTGACGGCCCCATACAAGTATTTCAATGACTCCAAAATACATCTCGAAGGAGTTTCACACTATAAGCATGTATACCAGTGAATGGTGGACATATGAACAAAGAAGCAAATTTTCAAATATCTCAAAAATATTCTTTCCTAAGAGGGCAACAGATAGGATAAGACTTTCTAATTCATATCCAGAAAACTAAACAAGCACTGCTGCTTTGTTCGATGCTTAAGATAATCCATATTTCATTGTATAAAGTATATACAGTGAAATCATTATATGCGGTATATTGATACATACTATATTATATTCCATCAAATATATAATAACATTTTTTACAGTACACTCTAATATCATTATATATTCTAACTTTATACCTTGTATGCCAATTTAACTTACCGTCATGCTTCTCCACGCAATGCCAGTGCTCCGTTTCTGTTTGTGTTATTCCAAGCCGCAACCAGCTTCATCAAGTAGTCAAGCAGATCGTAGATAGGTAGATCCCTCGCCGCCTTATTCGCAGAATTCATGGATTCCGCAATATTTGAGGGGACCTATTAACCGTTGAATGCGCTATCGACCACCTATCATATCCAATGTCAAATAAGTAATCTTTAACTCTCCCATCAAGAGTACATATTTCTCACATGTATTGGTTGAATTCCTCTGTATGCTTTAGCCCTAGCAAAAAATAAGGGCCTTATTTTCTTTTGGCTCTTCTTGAACCTCAACTTTATGTTGTTCCATAGATGGAATATGCATACACAATGAGGCACTTCTGGATACACAACTGATGTTGCCTTCAAAATGCTTTCATGCCTGTCAGATACGATGCACATTCCTTCCCTTATACCATATGTTTCTCGCAAATTCCGGAAGAGCCACTCCCATGATGTATCATTCTCCGAATTAACCACAACATACGCGAGCGGAAATATTTTACCTTATTGAACATCACAAAAATTAACTTTATTTAAAACGTAAATTATACAACATATCAAATACGATAAAGAAGATTTGTTGGATAAAAACGAGGATATGATAAATTATACATGATTTATACTAAAAAAACTACATGTTAAAGCTGTGATACCATCAAAATATTCAGATTATTTAGGGTATAATTTATACACAGTTATGCATCACGTGTAATTATACATGAAATTATTTCTACCTATGAATGTTTACTTCAACTCACCTGCTGCATCTTGTGTGCAGGCCGTCAGTAAGGTCCCTCTGTATGTTGATTTTAGAAAGCTACCATCGACAACAACATTAGGCATGCAATACTCTCATCCTTTAATTGATGAGTAGAGTGTTACATATACATAAAAGAAGCACCCGTCGTGTGACCTTTCCAACCTTGTCACTGACCCAGGATTTGTATGCATTAACATATACAAAAACCTTGGCAACTTATTATACGAATCGCTTGGTTTACCTCTCAACAGTTCAAAAGCTTTTTCCCTCGACCTCCATGCTTTCATATAGTTCAAATCAACTCCATAATCCCTCTTGAGGCCACCTTGTATTTCTGCTGGAGTATACTCCAACTTTGGATCATCTAGCTTGTTCATTATCAAATTTCCAACAAGATTAGAGGTAGTCTGCCGCTGTGAAAATAATCTGGAATTATTTCCATATGTGTGAACTTTTTCAAACTTTCTCACCTTAAATATATTCGAGGTGTTTAGGCTTGATGCCTTAAGATTCCATGAGCATTGATCATCCACACATACAAGATAATACCTGTAGTATAAATACATTAATTACTTTTTTGGTTTCAAATATAAAAATTAATTCTCTAACTGGGTAAAAAACTCGAATGTATTAACTCACAGCACGTATAAATCATACACATACCATTTCATGTATAATCCGTGCATATAATCTAAAGCATCGGTTTAATCTTTTTACCCAAATATTATACTAAATTTATACCATTTAATTGTGTTATATGGGAATATAGCGTTGCTAAATACTAAATTTACAAGACATGAAGTTCACTTGATACAATTATCTATCTACATGTATCTTCAGCCGACCATATCAAACATATATTCAGTGACATGAAGTTCACTTGAAATTTTTATTTGAACGATCAACCTTGAACTGGAACTTCTCTCGGATTGCAAGATGTTTCATGACGTTTTGCAGTATATCCTTGTTTTTGTACAGCTGTCCTTCATTAACTTCTTGATGTGTACTGATTCCGATTACACACTCTTCATCGATCTGCATAACATCATAGCCCTCTTTGTTTCCGGAATTAATCCATTCAACCGTTTTCAGATTGTCAACCATTGACAAATTCTGAAAAAGATTGGAGTTTGCCTTGTTAACAACTGGATTCGCGCATATATCATCGTTACCCTGCTCTTTAAATGTTATACACAATGGATAATCAGTGAAAGATAAATTTTTGCTTTTCAACTCCATGTACAAGCCCAAACTCCTGTCGTCGTATATTTTCATCGGTGGAAAATGCTCTTTCACGGAATATCCAATATCCATCATATCAATTTGTGCGTCTGACTCCAAGTATCTTTGATATCTCCGAACAATCGATTTAAAATCCCATTCCATATTGATCAACACCCCATCGACGCTAAAATTCTTAAATATGTGTTGCATATCCCATTCACCGCTATGTTGAACCAAAAATGTGATTCTGTTATCCATGGCAGAAGAAGTATACATGATCTTTCAGTTGTTTGCTTCCAATTATGTGGTTCCCATCTCTTTATATAATAATACTATATGGCATATGGAATATTCGGAATACGTCAGTTACGACTAAGAAGATTGGCTGACAGTAATAACTAATTATCTTAATTAAGTAGAAGTATGTAACTGAAACCATTTAAGATGCGTGATTGAAGTTACCATGTTTAAGGGGTTTTGGCTATGGATATAAATATTTTCTTGCCTTATGTGTAAAAGACCTAATGCTGCTATATGTGCGCAAATTTTCCTACAATTTTGCCTAGTTATGTTTTTTGCTCGATCAAAAATAGTATTCTGATGATAAAAATTGAGACTCGGTTTACAAGCCTTCACATCTCGTGCAAAGGACAAGAGGTGGTGTGTAGTCTAATCCAAGAAAGGTTTCAAACACAACTTCTTTAACAAACAGAGGAGCAAAAGTGGAATGTAAGCATCAAACTTCTGAAGTCTGAACAACCAGTAGTGAAAAAGGTTACATCTCAGCTAATTTCTTGAACAAAGGTCCTTAAGAAAATTCAGTAAATCAGTAGATACTGCAACAGTTAAAGGGCAAGTTATGTTAACAATAATTCCATTATTAAGAATTCCATCAGAAAGTTATTCGCATTCTCATGCATAAGCAGCATATCATGGAAGCCGATAAAATTTCTATCTTTACAAACAATCCAAATCCAAACACACCAAGGAGGGGGGAGGCCAGAAGGAGTTTCACAAGGAGAATGGCTTCGCATACACATCGAATGGCTGGCAAGCTGTTAACTGGGGCTCCTGGAAAAAGTGTGACATAAAAGAGAAAAGGTCAAGAACTATGTTTGAATTCTATAATTCAGGAACTAAGGTAAAAGAATGCATTACACTTTAGTAGTACATTAATTAAATATGCTGAAGTTACCTGACTAAAGCCTCCACCCATACCGGCACTACCACCTGTCAAAAGCATGGAAATGAGAGATGTGACAGCACCGCCACCAAAGTCACCCCCTGAACTTCCGGCTTGCCGAATGGCATTTCGCATTGCGGTCAATATACTTCCGTATGTGGTTCCATGACCGCGCTCAATTGCTTGAATGAAACAGAAAGTCATAGCACCCGTTGAAGTTACTTTTGAAAGAGCCTGCAGATCAAAGTCATTAGGTGTCTCCTAATAATTTCTACTTAAATCGAAATAAGATTAATCAAACTTACAGATGTATCAGCAGAAGTTTGATTATCATCACAACCACTAAA